TATATTCAGTGATTGCTATTTTTTTTTGATTTCCGTTTAATTTACGGAGCAATTATTTTATTTCTTGTTTGAAATGACTATTTTCTTTCAGACATTAGCCCGACAAATTTCACAAAAAAGCAAATAACAGATAAATTTCTCAACATAAATACCTTCGTCAGCCTGCCCTTTTCTTTCTCTCCATGTCTCTCACTCTCTGACTTTGACCCAACCCTCTCTATTTCTTACTCTCTTAAATTGTTACTCCCTATCTAATATTCACTGCCTTCACCTTCCCTCTTTGTGTCTATCAGTTACCCACTTCTCTCTTTCTCTTTCTCTCACTCTGTTCTTCTACCGCTTTCTCCCCTCTCCGTCAATCAGTCTAGACTCTTACTATTCTCCTTCTTCCGCTATAGTATTTACTTCTTTGTTCCTTGTATCACATTGTCTTCTCTCTTTGTAGCATCACCTTTCTCTCTACGTCTCTCTCGCTATCTCTCTATCCATTTGTCTCCCACTTCTTTTCTCCTCCTCTCACTACATCTATCTATCTATCTATCTATCTATCTATCTATCTATCTATCTATCTATCTATCTATCTATCTATCCCAGTCTGTTCATAATCTATCTATCTATCTATCTATCTATCCCAGTCTGTTCATAATCTATCTATCTATCTATCTATCTATCCCAGTCTGTTCATAATCTATCTATCTATCTATCTATCTATCTATTCATATCTATCTATCTATCTATCTATTATCTATCTATCCCAGTCTGTTCATAATCTATATCTATCTATCTATCTATTTATCTATCTATCCCAGTCTGTTCATAATCTGTTCATATCTATCTATCTATCTATCTATCTATCTATCTATCTATCTATCTATCTATCCCAGTCTGTTCATAATCTATCATTCATCTATCTATCTATCTATCTATCTATCTATCTATCTATCTATCTATCTCAGTTTGTTCATAATTCATCTATCTATCTATCTATCTATCTATCTATCTATCTATCTATCTATCCCAGTCTGTTCATAATCTATCTATCTATCTATCTATCTATCTATCTATCTATCTATCTATCTATCTATCTGTTTGTCTCACTTTTCTCTTCTTCTTCTCTCTCTTCTCCTACGTTCACTCCCACCTCCTCTTTTCTTTGGTCATTACTCTTTTTCTCTCTTCTTTTTAACATATCTCTTTCCTCTCTCTCTCTATCTATCTCTCTCTCTCTCACACACACATACACACACAAACACACACCCTCTCTTCCTCTATCTCTCTAGCTATCTTTCCGTTTTTCCCCCTCTTCGTTTCTCCTCATCTCACCTCTCTCACGTTCACTCCTACCTCCTCTGTCAACCTATCTTTTCTATTTCATTGGTCATTACCTCATTTTCTCCTCTTTTTAACATCCCCTGTACCCCACTCTCTCTCTCTCTCTCTATTTATCTGACTATTCCTTTCTCTCTCTCTCTTTATTTATCTAGCTACCTTTCTATTTCTCCCCCTCTTCATCTCTTTCTCTTCTCTCACGTTCACTCTCACCTCCTCTGTCTTCCTGTCTTTTCGAGATGCTGAAGGTAACAACAATCAGCTCAGTGACGACTTTTATATTTCTTTTAATCCTATTGGGACACATAATGAGGACGGAAGGCCTGGAGAATCTGATACTCAAGAGAGACAAGGGAAAGCAACGCATGACATATCTGACGAGCTTGAGCAGGTGGATGACAGAACGTGCTCTGGGGCAGGAAGCAGAGGAAAGGAACTTACTGAGAGCTGCAACGGATAGAAGGAGGTGGGGAGCCATGATCGCTTACGTTCACAAGGACATGTCACATAAATGATATATATATATATATATATATATATATATATATATATATATATATATATATATATACAGGGTGCGGTTGGTATTTGAGGACAAATTTTATGGATTAGTAAAAACATGCTGAACAAATGAATATAATTATATTTAATTACAAACAAGTAAACATGAAATTTAGCTAACTATTATTTAATTTTATTCAATAAAACCACTACTAGCATCAATAACTGTCTCTACTCGAGGTCGAAATTGGCTGCAATTTCTGATTAATTGATACTTATTTATTTCATACATTATTCGAACTATTGCAGCTTTAACAGTGGATTCGGTGTTATGAGGCTGTTTATTAACCCCCCCCCCTCTTAACAACGCTCCACACATAATAGTCTAGTGGGCTGAGATCTGGAGAGTTAGGAGGCTAGATGTTTGGTGTGATGCGGTCGTACAAATGGTCAGCTATCCATTTTTGCAACTCTGAGGAAACGTGCAATATTTAAATTTCTATGATCAGCCTTTAATGCCGCAATCACAGCAGACCTTTTCATTTCATTTGTTATGATAGGGGTTGCCATTCTTAATTTCTGAAAAATAATAGCATAAGAAGTTAGTGGTAAGCAGTATTAGTCTTAAATCTGTATGTCCTCAAATACCAGACGCACCCTATATATATATATATATATATATATATATATATATATATATATACAAGTCTCCAACACTAATATTCCATAGTTATAATTTATTACATTGGAATCGTAATCACGATCCAATTCATCAGACCTACAAATTCAAGAGGAAATCGGACATTATATTATATTCTTACTCTGTCCTAAGTTCAACCTGGATTCTATCCTCTTGGAAATATATATATATGTATATAAACATATAAAAACATATATATATATATATATATATATATATATATATATATATATATATATATATATATATATATATATATATATATATGATTACACGAATCATTCATGAAAAAAAAACTTTGTTCTTGCTTTTTACTTCTCGTTTTTACCGCACGTTCCAAAACAATAACACATTTCTCATAGCATTTTTTCGGATTACATCCATATTTTCGTTGTCCTCTTATTACCGAGAAATAAAAAACAAGAACAAATCTATTTTCATACCTGAGGATGTCTGTAGGAACAGACGAAAGCTTGTAAAAACTAAAAAAGACCTTATGAAACTGGAATTTATAAACAGGGATCATATCATTCATATACAGGTTCGGGGTTAGTGTAACTTATTGAAATTGTTTGCGAACATATATTCTCGCCATTTAAATCATTAATCTCTATACTTTTTTTGTATGTATGATATACATATATATATATATATGCGTGTGTGTGTGTTAACAGATCGAAATAGCTATTATGTCCATTATCACTTATGACCGATAGAAGCTAAGAAATATGGAATTTATGCGCAATATTATGAGTCACGTCACTTCTTAATCCTCAGATTCATGAATGGACTTAAAGGAAGATTACCGTTGGCTTCGGCCATTACTGCAACTAGTCTACTTGCGTTTTCCCACCTCATAAACCACAATTTTTGTCCGATAAAACAAATAATGACGTTTTATAAACTTTCGGACATAATTTTATTACCCTCTGATAAGAAATGGGTTTGGTCAGATAAGCGCTGCCAGAGGCAGGCGCCACTCTGGCGGTTATTAATTTTGTTATAAAGTTAATGAAGAGTGACGCCCTTTTTACGTCATCTGAAAACCTGCTACGCGTTTTGCACCAATGTCCACGACAAATCGTAATAGCTGACCGGAATACGCTGATAACTATGTTGGCCTCAAGGAACGGAGAACCGATTTAATCCTTCCGCGATAAAAAAAATTCAAAATTACATTCAGTGATCAGTCGTTGCGCTTTGATCAAAGATATGCCTGATCAATTAATCCCATTTTGGGGTTTTCTTTGTTATCAAAAAGTCTTAGACGATCCATTCGAATGGACGGTGCAAGCTAAATCCAATGTAAAAATATGTTAGCAACATCTGATAACAATAAATTATTACGTTTATCTTACGTGAAGTATGAGGTAACCAAAAAGTCCCTGACGTTTTTTTCTTACGTCGTGTGGGAAAAAGTTATCACTGATACGCAAATGAGTGCGTCACGTGTCAGGGTAAGTGATTTTAAGAGGGAGACACTGCTCTTGTTCATGCAGGTGCGTTAAATACACGCACTTCTCATAGCTCGCGTGGTGGCGAGGAAACACGCCGGTGTTGAAGCTCCGACAAGATTTTTGATTTGGTTTGGATTGATTTACGGCATATCTATCTCAATGGGTTATTTAATGCCGACAAGATTTTTGTTTTGGTTTGGTTTGTTTTACGGCATATCAATCTCAATGGGTTATTTAATGCCGAAAAGATTTTGTTTTGGTTTGTTTTACGGCATATCAATCCCAATGGGTTATTTAATGCCGAAAAGATTTTTGATTTGGTTTGGTTTGTTTTATGGCATATCAATCCCAATGGGTTATTTAATGCCGAAAAGATTTTTGATTTGGTTTGGTTTGTTTTACGGCATATCAATCTCAAAGGGTTATTTAATGCCAACAAGATTTTTGATTTTTGGTTTGGTTTGTTTTACGGCATATCAATCCCAATGGTTTTATTTAATGCCGAAAGATTTTTGATTTGGTTTGGTTTGTTTTACGGCATATCAATCCCAATGGGTTATTTAATGCCGACAAGATTTTTGATTTGGTTTGGCTTGTTTTTTTACGGCATATCAATCCCAATGGGTTATTTAATGCTGACAAGATTTTTGATTTGGTTTGGTTTGTTTTACGGCATATAAATCTCAATGGGTTATTTAATGCCGACAAGATATTTGTTTTGGTTTGGTTTGTTTTACGGCATATCAATCCCAATGGGTTATTTAATGCCGACAAGATTTTTGATTTGGTTTGGTTTGTTTTACGGCATATCAATCCCAATGGGTTATTTAATGCCGACAAGATTTTTGATTTGGTTTGGTTTGTTTTACGGCATATCAATCCCAATGGGTTATTTAATGCCGACAAATTTTTTGATTTGGTTTGGTTTGTTTTACGGATTCAATCCCAATGGGTTAATGCCGACAAGATTTTTGATTTGGTTTGGCTTTTTTTTACGGCATATCAATCCCAATGGGTTATTTAATGCTGACAAGATTTTTTGATTTGGTTTGGTTTGTTTTACGGCATATCAATCTCAATGGGTTATTTAATGCCGACAAGATTTTTGATTTGGTTTGGTTTGTTTTACGGCATATCAATCCCAATGGGTTATTTAATGCCGACAAGATTTTTGATTTGGTTTGGTTTGTTTTACGGCATATCAATCTCAATGGGTTATTTAATGCCGACAAGATTTTTTTGATTTGGTTTGCTTGTTTTTTACGGCATATCAATCCCAATGGGTTATTTAATGCCGACAAGATTTTTGATTTGGTTTGGTTTGTTTTACGGCATATCAAACTCAATGGGTTATTTAATGCCGACAAGATTTTTGGTTTGGTTTGGTTTGTTTTACGGCATATCAATCTCAATGGGTTATTTTATTTTTTTTTTGGTTTGGTTTGTTTTTTATCCCAATGGGTTATTTAATGCCGACAAGATTTTTGATTTGGTTTGGTTTGTTTTACGGCATATCAAACTCAATGGGTTATTTAATGCCGACAAGATTTTTGATTTGGTTTGGTTTGGTTTGTTTTATGGTATATCAACCTCAACGTATTATTTAATGCGGACAAGATTTTTGGTTTGTTTTGGTTTGTTTTGGTTTGGTTTGGTTTGTTTTGTTTTATTTTACGGCATATCGACCTCAGGGGGTTATTTAATGCCGACAAGATTTTTGGTTTGTTTTGGTTTGGTTTGGTTTGTTTTACGTCATATCAACCTCAATAGGTTATTTATTGCCGAAAATTTTTTATTGCTGGTAATATTTTGTTTTGTCAAAAATCTGTTTCTGTTAATATTTTTCCTTCAAAAATGTATTGCAGGTAATAATTTTTTTTTCAAAAAAGTATTGGTGGTAATATTTTTCCCTCAAAAATGTATCGCTGGTAATATTTTCTTCAAAAACATATTGCTAGTAATATTATTTTTCCTTCAAAGATGTATTACTGGTAATAATTTTGTTAATAAAGTATTACTGGCATTAAAACCTATTTTTATACTTTCATAGTGTTTTAATCCCAGTTTTAGCGTTATTTGCCCATAGCTGGAACCCTAACAGAATGGACCTGGGAACTCTAGCAATTTAGAGGTGGTTCCACGCCCTTCAAAACCTCCTGATCAGAGGCCTTGCTGCTGGACGTAGTTTATCGTCATACCCAGGACGGGAAGCTCTTTCGGGGTTGTCTTCTTTGTGACTTTAAGGTGGAATTGTCAGCAGCCACATCAAGTCGCCTAAAACGTTAAGCCTTTG